AGCCGAGCTGCACCGAGCCTCTGCGCGGAGACAAGGCAAGGGTTTTGTCTTGGGTGCAGATTGAAAGTCCTGCTTAATCAGCACTCCACGAGACAATCCAAATTCCAGGAACGGGAAGGGGTTTGTGTCCCTGCCAGGCGTAATATCCTGCAGCCCAGACTGGCCCGGCTGCCAAAGCACACGGTATCTGCAGCGAGGACCTTGCTGGGAGCCAAGAAGCACACACATTCAGCTGGATACAGCAGCAGTGCTGGCAAATTCTCATTTTAATGAGCATTGGGGGGAAAAAAAGAGATAAATCACTGGGTTCAGAGCACTCTCTTGGCAGAGATGCCCACTGATGCTTTTAAGACTGACACACATAGCAGCTCGCTCCAGAATAAGCCACAACGGGACTTGCAGGATTCCTCTGTCATGTTTGTTTCTCCCGTCTGTTGGATTTGGGCATCACCCATCACCCATGTATCAAGGTGGCAGGTGGTGACATGAGCCTACACAGGACTGAGCAAGGCTTTGCCCTTTGCTGAGGGACAGCTCAGCATGCTGAGGGACATCGCTGCTGCGATGCCTGAGCACCCCCGGGCATGGAAGAGGTCGATGTGGCTTTCCATAGCAGGCGCCTCCTCTTAACCAAGCCAAAGCCCTGTTTGAACAAAACTCTTTTCCCAGGTAATGCACAAACTCCGTTGCTCTAGTAAAACATCCCCCTCTTACGAACTGGCAGAAAGGCTCATTTTCCAGCTTGGCTGAAAGCTGTTCATTTCTCCCAGTCCTGCCCCAAACACCACCAACACCTCCAGCTACCCTGGTGCCCACCCTGGCAGGGAAGGAAGACGGGGCTTTTGATGGCTTTTGGCATTTCTAGAGCCCTGTAGAAGTCCAACACATCCAGAGCTTGGTTCCTCCTCATGCATCATGAAAGGAGATCTTCCTTCTGACTTAGGGGTCAGAAGATTTGATCTCCGCATGTTGTGACATGAGAAAACCCAGGCTGAACTCCTGCATGTTTATTTGTGATCTCCCTGAGGTGAAACACCCCGTTGAGCTGTAACCCAACTGAGATCAGTCCTGAAGTCGGAGGACTTCAGAGTCATCCTTCTCACTAATTAGGACCAGCTCCTTGTAAATGTTGAATCCCTTTCTGAACCAAGCTGAGCCTTGGAGGAAGGGGTGCAGAAAAGTAAAATCTCACGCTGAAGAGGTGACATCCCAGGCTGCGGGAACGGGGGGATGAATTCCTGGCTGCCAGCAGAACTGCGCCCTTCTTGGCCAGAATACGGGGACACCACGTTGGGATGGGCTTTTCCAAAGAATTCAGCCTTTCTTCATCAAAATTAAAGAAGTTTGATAGGTATCCCTTGGAGGAAGGGGTGCAGAAAAGTAAAATCTCACGCTGAAGAGGTGACATCCCAGGCTGCGGGAACGGGGGGATGAATTCCTGGCTGCCAGCAGAACTGCGCCCTTCTTGGCCAGAATACGGGGACACCACGTTGGGATGGGCTTTTCCAAAGAATTCAGCCTTTCTCCATCAAAATTAAAGAAGTTTGATAGGTATTGAACCCCTTCTCCCTGATATCGCGGACATCGCAGGAACAGGGCAAGTTTCTCAAAGGAAATTTCACAATTTTAATGACAAGTAGTTAATTGATCATCTGAACTTTTCCTGTCGTTCACTGCTAAAACCTGGGATGGAGC